TGATCTGATTCCTGTGTATTCCATCTGGTGAAGTCCATGTGCATAGCTGTTGTTTATGTTGTTGGAAACAGGTATTTGTAATGTATAAGTCATTGGTCTTGCAAAATTCTGCCATGCGATCTCTAGCATTATTTCTATTACCAAGGCCATATTTTCTGATTACTGATGATTCTTCTTTGTTTCCAAATTTTGCATTCCAATCACCAGTAATAATTAACACATCTTGATTGTGTGTTTGGTCAGTTTCAGACTGTAGGAGTTGGTAAAAATCTTTAATTTCTTTATCTTTGGCTTCAGTGGTTGGTGTGTAAATTTGAACAATAGTAGTATCAACTGGCCTTCCTTTTATGTGTATAGATATTATCCTATCTCTGACGGCATTGTACTACAGGATAGATCTTGAAACACTCTTTGTGACAATGAATAGGTTGCTATTTTTCCTCAATTTGTCATTCCCAGCACAGTAGATCATATGTTTGTCTGATTCAAAATGGCCAGAACCAGTCCATTTCAGCTCACTAATCCCTAGTATCACTCTTCATGCATTCCATTTCATTTTTTTTGGAACTTCCTATTTTCCTTCACCTATACTTCATATATTTCATGTTCTAATTATTAATGGTTGTTTGCAGCTGTTTCCTCCGTTGAGTTGTACCCCATCATCAAATAAAAGTCCAAGGCTGCAATCCTCATGAACCAGTGGGTTCAAACTGCCGACCTTTTGGTTAGCAGCTGAGTGCTTCAGCAAGGGTCCTAGTACAAGAGACAGTACTCAGTAAATAACTGCTAATAGAGTGGATGTGGGGATTCACCTGATTTAAGTGTCAAATGAAATGCATACAGAGCCACTGCCTTGTGCCACAGGTCCCTACACTCCCAAAGCTGCAGCATCCTCAGGCAGAACAAAGATGCCTCCAGCCATCGCCCCGTCAGGCACCAACCCTGAGCACATGCTGTGTACCGCACTGTACAAGGAATGCAGGACAGTAACTGCCAACTCCTCCCTTGGAGCTGGCCCGAACCCCCTGCGAGAAACCTTCCTCTGAACGGGTGTGTCAAGAGCGTGGTGGTGAGATTTGTACATTTCAGTGCATGTAAACCCGCCTAAAGAATAACAACAACAAGAGTGTGGGGTGGATACAGATGACACCGGGACAGCAGAAGGCCGCTGCCTGTGGAGGCTGGGTGGTGGCGACACAGGGCTGCCCCATGTCATTCTGTCCACTGTATACACACCCAAGCTACAGAAGGCCAGGCCCGGGAAGCCAGAGTAAAGCCGTCCTGTAGGCTGCTGCCTGGGGGAGTCTCCTCGTTCTCGGTTTGGCAGGAAAGGCGAGAGGAGGGGAGATGTAGGAAGTGCCAAAGCTAGGCTTCCCAGAGCTAGGGTCAGCCACAGCAGCCCACTCTGCCGCTCGGGGCTCCGAGCCACACAGACTCAGAGTTGCTGAAGGTGACGATTTTATTCACTCCACTGGGGGAAGTTCAGGGGCTGCAGACAACGAGGAGCAGGGGACCGAGAAGGACGCAGGGGAAGGAGCGGGAAGAGTGGGAGGATGCACGAGGAGCCCCAGTCCTGTGGCACAGCCTAAAGGACAGTCCTCACCAGCCCAGCCAGCCCCGACATCGGACTTCCACCAGCCCAGCCCCTACATGCTCCGGAGGAGCTCCTGCCATTACCCACACCAGCCTGCCCGCCGCCATCCTCTAAAGGAGCCCCTGGGATGACCCCCACTGGCCTGCTACCCCCAGACTCCTGCAGGAGTCCCTGGGTCAACCTCCCACCTGTCCCCAGCCCCCTGAGTCCTCTGAACCCCCACCCGGCCCCGGCAGCCTCGAGTCCTCTGACCCCCCCGCCCAACCCTGGCCAAGCCCC